GTTGTCGGGGTGGAGTTCACAGCTCTGTCCTCGCCTGCTCCCTCACTGCGCTGTCATTCACCCGCCTGCACCCACAGCACAACTGATTATCCAGGCACCATAAAGGGAGGAGTCAGGGATGGCGGCCGGGTTTCTGGCAGGGATACTGTGACGTGCCATCCTCTGAAGAAGAAAATTCTAAGGGGGGGCAGACACTGTGTTGGTGAGCTGAACTGCCGTCTGCAATGCTGGCATCTCATGTCAGAATGTCAGATGGGGTTTTGTTTGCTCTGCTTCCCTGCAGGTGTGCCTGGGAAAGCACTGGAAGATGGCTCAGGTGCCTGGGCCCTGCCCCCACGTGAGACACAGATGGGGCTCCTGGCTTTGGCCTTTGCTCTGGACCAGTTCTGGTCGTTGCAGCCATCTGAGGAGCGAACCAGCAGATGGAAAATCTCTCCCTCTTTCTACCTCTGCCTTTCAAATAAATAAAAAAGAAATAAAGCCCAGGGCAAATCCTCCATTTTCACTTGAGAGACAGAGGAACAGAAGGGATGCGAGTGCCCCAGGAGCGTGGCTTCTTCGTGCAGGGGCCGCGCTGGTCTGCCCTGTATCCCTCCAGCCTCAGCAGCTGTGCTGGCGAAGCTACCGCCCGGGCCGATGCTGGAGTAGAGAGAAAGGCGGTGCTGCTGCTTCCAAAAGGGCAGGGGAAGAAGGGGAAAGTCCGTGAAGCTACACTGAGACGCAGCAGCCATGTCCTTCCCTTTCCCAGCCTTCGCTTGCCCTCTCGTTCAGATAGTTCTAGAACACCTGTGTGCAAGGCCTTATTCAAGGCATGGAGGATGTAGTGGCCAAGCAGAAAGACGAGAACAAGCCACCGCAAGCTCTCCTAAGGAAAGACTGTCAAGGGGCCGTGGGGGCAGGGGGATGTTCAGAACCCGAGCCACAGATGTCTCGGGGGAAGGAGGGGCAGAGTTCAGTGTTGCAGAGCCTGCGGGATGCTGGCGTAAGAGACGGGACTGCTGGAATCGCAAGGGCAGTCCCTAAACCTTAAGAAACTGGGCACATTATCTACTGACAGGAAATCGAGGCAGGAAGTGTTTGTGGTTGGGTACACAGCACAGACCTGAGCTTGAAATGCAGCAAGCATGCACAGTGGGGGTGCGGGGGGAGCTCGCACCTCTGGGGGCCTCAGTGTCCTAGGGAAAAAAGTCTAAATTATGGCAAGTATGAAGTTCAGTTGGCCTTGTCAGTCTCTCCCTTTAAAGAACAATTGTTCGTTAGCTGGTTTACTCCCCAAGTGACTGCAAGCACCAGGATTGGGCAAATCTGAAGTTTCATCCCAGTCCCCCTCATGGGTCCAAGCACTTGGGCCATCTTGTGCTGCCTTCTGAGGCACATTAGCAGGGAGCTGGATTGGAAATGGGTCAGCTAGAACTGGAACCAGTGCCCTATGGGATGCCAAGGGAGCCCTACAGGCTAAGGGGCGCGGGGCTAAGCCCAGACAGCTCACTGCCTGAGGGGAAGCGAACACAACAGCCGGGTTGCTTTCCTAGTTCTTATTCCCTGTCCTGCAAATGATTTATGTATGTTTGTACCTATGTGTTTAGACAGCACAGTGATAGAGAGACAGAGAGCTCTTCCACCCACTGACTCACTCCCCAAATGGCTGTGATGGCCAGGGAAGGATCAGCCAGGAGCTTCATCTGGGTCCCCCATATGGGTGACAGGGGTCCAGGTGCTTGGGCCGTCGTCTGCTGCCTTCCCAGGGGCCTTAGCAGGGAGCTGGATCGGTAACGGAGCAACCGGGACTTGAACTGACGCCCATGTTGGAAGTTGTTTTTGCAGGCGGTGGCTTAACTTGCTGCACCTGCCCCCCTTCTTGTTCCCTTTCTATGTCTTTCTGGGCTCACTTTTCCTTGTTCTTTAGATTCTCCTCTGAGAACTCTTTTCTCACGTATCAGGCTAGGCCTGTTGTTGCCCTGTCGGGATCCCCTCAGCCCCCTGCAGAACCCTGACCCTGACCCTGGCCCTCTGCCTGTGCCTCCCCCACCCTGACCCCTCTGCCCCACCCTGGCCCTGACCATCTCAGCTGTCCCCTGTGGTCACCGGACTCTCCCCCCCCCCCCCCCGCCCAGGGAGGAGAGCGCTGGTCACTCCTGCTGCTGACTTGGCTGTTGCGTGGTGGAGCTCAGCACCCCAGCCCCGTCCTGGGGGCTCCACGGGGCACACGGAAAAGCAGCTCATTCTCCAGGATCCTGTTCCCAGGGAAGAGCACTGAGCGGCCCTTGGGGCAGTCTCCAGCCAGAGAGCGGTGAGCGGTAACACAGATGCACGTCTCGTCCCCTCGGGGAGCCCTGGTTCTGTGACTGTCCCCACACCTCTCTGGGCACCTGCTCTCTGGGCGTGTCTTCTGAAGGTATGGGGACCCCCGTCTCCTGCAGGTGGCGCTGTGACAGGCTGCGGTGCACCCCAAACCCACCTGTAACCCCTCCTGGCTCATCTCCCCGTCATGTTGTTTTCAAATGATGTGAACATTTGTAGTGAAATACAAGGTGAGTCACATTTATGATTTAAATATTCTGGCAGCCATATTTTATTTTATTTACTTTATAACCAGAGAGCATGTTGACCCGTCACTGGTGCCTCCCCGGGTGTGCACCAGCGGGAAGTTGGAGCCAGGAGCCGGCAGCGCTGGGCATTGGACCAAGGCATTTCAGTGTGGACACGAGTGTCCTGGTCGGCATCCCGGCTGCCAGGCCAAAGGCCCTCCCCTAGAAGCATGTTAGACAGCAGGTCAGTGAGCCCGAGAGAAGACGCTCAGGTCTCATCAAAACCACAACAGTTCTGCATGCTTTTATTAAAACAAGAAAAGAAGAAAGGCGAGCATTTGGTGCAGTGGTTGGATGCCACGGGGATGCCAGCGCTCCAGGCCAGAGAACTTGGTTTGAGTCCTGGCTCCTCCACTTCAGCCAGCTTCTCCCCTCCTCGCACGGGGGAGAGCTCCTCCACTCTAGCCCAGCTTCTCCCCTCCTCACATGGGCGAGAGCTCCTCCACTCTAGCCCAGCTTCTTCCCTCCTCACATGGGGCGCGCTCCTCCACTCTAGCCCAGCTTCTCCCCTCCTCACATGGGGGAGCGCTGGGTTGCGTTTTGGGCTCCTGTCTGCTGGGAGCATGTGGACAGTGTACGAGTGAATAGATCTCTTCCTTTTCCTCTCTCCCCCCTTTTTCCCTCTGCCTTCCTTTCATGAAAAAATGAATTTTAAAAATTTAAGGGCCCGGTGGCGTGGCCTAGTGGCTAAAGTCCTTGCCTTGAATGTGCCAGATCCCATATGGACGCCGGTTCTAATCCCAGCAGCTCCACTTGCCATCCACCTCCCTGCTTGTGGCCTGGGAAAGCAGTCGAGGACGACCCAAGGCCTGGGGACCCTGCACCCGCGTGGGAGACCCGGAAGAGGTTCCTGCGTTCCCGGCTTCGGATAGGTGCAGCACCAACCGTTGTGGTCAATTGGGGAGTGAATCATTGGATGGAAGCTTTTCCACTCTGTCTCTCTACCTCTCTGTATATCTGACTTTGTAATGAAAATAAATAAATCTTTAAAAAATTTAAAACAGTAAAATTGTTTGATTTATTTTTATTTTAAAGTTACAGAAAGGAGAAGGAGGTCTTCCATTCACTGATTCACTCCCCAAATGGCCACAACAGCCGGAACTGAGCTGATGCAAAGCCAGGAGCTTCTTCTCGGTGTTCCACATGGGTGCAGGCTCCCAAGGCTTTGGGCCGTCCTCCACTGCCTTTCCAGGCCACAAGCAGGGAGCTGGATGGGAAATGGGGTGTCTGGGACATGAACCAGTGCCCATATGGGATGCCAGTGCTACAGGCATGGTACCTGCCCCCAATCAGTGAACTTATTAAAGATATCAGAAATGTATATGCCAGGAGAGGGAGATATTGGAGTCTTTGTGTAATGCTGTCTGGAATGTGAAATGAATCAGCTGCTACAGGAAATGACATGGCCACTCCTAAAACTGTAAACCTGGAGTCGCCACCTGACCCGGCAGTTCCGCTTCGGGGGAACAACCCAGAGAATCAAAAGCAGGGCCTGACCGAGTCATCTGCTCACCCATGTTCATGACAGCATGTCCCAAAAAAGGTGGGAGTAGCCTGAGTACCCAGGGAGGGTAATGACAGACCCACCAAGCGTGGGCACAGGTGCCACGCCTTCAAAGGCGGGGGGATTCTGACCTGAGGTCAGCGCGGATGGACACGCAGACCTTATGCTGAGTGAAACAGGCCAGGCACAAAAGGACAGGGCCCTGTGATGCCACTTCTGTGAGCCCCCGGCGTGCTCAGACAGCAGCCCGCTGGGCGCCAGGGCCGAGGGCGGGCACGGGAGCTTAGGGGAGTTTCAGCTCTGCAGGCGGGGAGCCCCGGAGGGGGGTGGCTGCCGACGTGACTGCAATGGATGCCCACGAGCGTCACGCTTTAAACTGGGAAAAATGACAAGACAGCCCCTCAGTTAAAAGCAAGTGAAGTTGGTTTCAGCAATAATTTTATCCCAGTGCACGCCACACACACAACTTCAACATGTAAGTGTTGAAAAGCCTTCCGTTCTTTTTCTCACGCGTTGGCCTGGGACACGCGGGCTGGATTCCACCTCCGCAGCGCATCCCGATTCACACTCACCCTGTCTCAGGTGCCCAGAGCCATGCGCAGGTGGCGGCTGCCAACGGGACAGCGTCCACCCCAGCCAGACCTCACCAGAGGTGTCCCCACCATGCTTGCAGAGACATCTGTGGGCAACACACTGCAGCTCCCCCTGCACCTCCCTCATCACACACACACACACCCCTCCTGCGTCAGCAGACACCCCTCTCCCTGCGCACCTGCCCCTGTCCCAGTTCACGGCAGGGCCCAGTCTCACCCCTGCAGACTCTGTCAGGCCTGGTTGGTTTGGCCTGGACACCTCCCCTCTTGCATCTCATCCGCGCGTCACCCTGAGGTGTCCGCCCAGGCAGGGCCTCAGATTATCATCTCAAAGTCAGGCGTCCGTAAGTCCACCCAGGAGGGTCCCTGGTGTCCTTGCCCCTGCTTCTCCTGGGGCTCTTTGTCCTCCTCCTCTTCCTCGCCGCTCTCCTCCTCCTCCTCTTCTTCCACGTTGGCCGTCAGTTCCTCCCAAAGTGCGCCCATCTCCAGCCCCAGTCTGCACAGCTGGGCCAGCAGCTGGACATCCACTCGGCGCATGTTCTCCTGCAGGTAGGGAGGGGGTGTCACGGGCACGCCGCCACCGAGGGCGAGGGGTCCGTCCCCCTGGGCTGGGTGGGAGCAGGCCCTGTGTCCCTGCACCCTGGGGTCTCCTGTCCTTGTTCCTCCACTTCCTCTCCCGTTACCTACTCGGTCTCCATCTCTGCCTCCCCCTTCCTCTTGCTCCGCCCTTGGCTGGCTCCATCTCTCCCGTTCACATTCAGACAGCGTCTGTCTCTGTTCTTTTTTTCTCTTTTTTTAAGATTTATTCGGAAGAGTTTCAGAGAGAGGAGGAGAGACACAGAAAGATCTTCCATCCATTTGTTTACTCCCCAAGCGGCTGCAAAGGCCATGGCTGACCTAAGCCAAAGGGACCCTCGCTTGGGCCATCTTCCACTGCTTTCCCCAGGCCACTAGAAGGGAGCTGGGTCACAGTGGAGCAGCTGGGGGCTGGCACTGTGGCTCAACAGGCTAATCCTCCAGCTTCAAGTGCCGGCATCCCGTATAGCCGCCGGTTCTAGTCCCAGCTACTCCACTTCTGGTCCAGCTCCCTGCTTGTAGCCTGGGAAAGCAGTAGAGGATGGCACCCACATGGGAGACCTGGAAGAGGCTCCTGGCTCCTGGCTTCAGATGGGCTCAGTTGCAGACGCGGCTGTTACGGACATTTGGGGATTGAACCAGTGGATGAAGGACCTCTCTCTCTCTCTTTCACCGTCACTCCTTCTCTCTCTGTAAATCTGCCATCCCAATAAAAATAAACAACACTTAAAAAGTAAAATAAGTGGAGCAGCTAGGACAGTAGCCAACACGCATGGAGAGTTTGTGGGTGGCGGCCTTACGTGCTGCACCACACAGCCTGTTGCTAATATCTGCGTTCTCTCTTGATCTTCTGCCCCCACCCCTGCAGCTCTGCACTGTCTTTTCCTCTATTCCTGTCTTTCAACCTCCAGCCTGTTCTATTTTATTCATTCTCCCTCTCTTTCTCCAAACCCCTCACTCACCAGCTCCTCCCAGATCCACAAGAGACTCTGCCTGGCACCTCCAGGGTCTTCCGTGGGGGACATAAGGGTCTGGCGCGGGCTCTCCACCGGGGGGACGCCCCTCAGGGCCCTGGGGGGTGGGCCCAGCCCCGGGGGGGCCAGTCCAGCCTGCTCCAGCCGCTTCCACAGCTCCATCGGGAGTGCTGGCCGCTAGGAGCAGGAAGTGGCAAGGTCCAGGGGAGTAAAGGGCAGCGTGGAGGGGAAGGCGGCCGGGTCAAGGCATCGCAAAGTCCAGTGCTGGGTGAGGAGCAGCGGCCGAGCAGGGAGCTTCTGTCTCCGACGGTTAACCTCAGCTCTGCTCACCTGGCCCAGCCTAGCTCCTGTGGAGGTCGTGTGTGCTGGTGCCCGCTGTCCCCTGCGTCCCTCCCACCCCTGCCCTCTCTTGGACTCCCTTTGAGGCCGGCCTGGCTTCAGTGCCATGCCTGCCTGTCTTCCTTGGCTCAGTCCAGCCCAGGCTCTCCTCAGCAGCGGCCCCAAGGTCCAGGGTCAGAGTCCAGGTGCCAGGAGAACAGGGGGCAGGGCAGGCTGCTGGCCCCAGGAGCGGTTCTGCCCTCCCTGGACGTGCCCAGCCTCATCCCAGTCAGGGTGGCCCCCCTATGTGACCAGAAAAGCACGTCAGGTTGGCACAGTGTAGTGTTATAGTGGGCTAAACCTCTACCTACAGACCTAACATCCCATGGGAGTGCTGGTTTGAGTCCCAGCTGCTCCACTTCCCACCTGCTTGGGCTCCTGATCTCATATGGGAGACCCAGAGGAGGCCCCTGGCTCCTGGCTTCAGATCGGTGCAGCTCTGGCTGTTGCGGTCACTTGGGGAGTGAATCATCAGACGGAAGATCTTCCTCTTTGTATATCTGACTTTGCAATAAAAACAAATAAATCTTTAAAAAAATAAAAAATAATCATAAAAATATGGAATGCGACCCAGAGGAAGCTCCAGTCCAGCCATTTGGGAAGTGAGCCTGTGGGGGTAAGATCGCTCTCTAACCGCCTTTCCAGTAAGTCAGTCCTTCGTAATAATGCAGGTACGGCATGGGAGCCGGAGGACGCTCCGGCGACTGCAGCCAGAGGAGGCCCGTCCCCTCGCAGGAAGGACTGGCCATGTGGTCCCAGAAGCCAAAGAAAAAGGTGTGTGCGCCTTTAAGAGGAGGGGTGGCGAACAGGGGGCGTGGCCCCAGGGGGAAGAAATTCACGCCTGAACCAGGTGTGTGGCCTGGAAAAAAGACCGGCTCCTTCCGGTTCCGTCCCGGTAGCAAGATGGCGGCGCCCAGGGCGGTAGGTGACCGGAGCTGCTGGAGCCCCCGGAATCGAGGTCCTTCTGCAACGCCTTCCGGGCGTGCAGAGCGGGCAGGGCAGGCGCGTCCCCACCAGGCGCCCCGCCGGGAGCGCGGACCCGCCGGTCTTCCGGGCCGGGAGTGGGACCGGGCGGGGGCGGGACTGGAGGGCGCCCAGCCAATCAGGCCAGGGGTGAGAGGTCACCGGGAAGGGACGTGGGGAATGCAATAATTACCAGAACGTGTGGATTCTAGAATTTGGCTAAAGGGGAAATTGAGGCAGAGGAAGAGGGTTGGGAGAGGAGATGGACGCGTTTGGGGTTTCTTCATGGCCGGCACGCTGAAGCCCAGTGGACAGTGGGGACCGGGCTCCTTCGCGGGCTCGCCCCTCGGCCTCGCGGGGCAGGGCGGGCAGCCGGCTTGGGCTCCAGGGCACGGCCTCGCCGGTCAGGGCACCGGGCGGGGCGGCCAGGGCGGGCAGCCGGCTTGGGTCGTTGCTGGGCTCCACGCACGGCCTCGCCGCGCCCTCCCGGAGCAGGTGTGGATGCTTTGAGGAGAGGAGCGCGCTGGGGAGAACGGGAGGCGCCGCGCAGTGCAGGTAGCAGGTTAAGCTCCGCCTGCAGCGCTGGCGACCCGCACCCGTGCGCTTTGCACCGAGTTCCTGCGGGAGGGAGAGCCAAGGCTGGTGCGTCCTTCGCCCACGGGGAGACCCGGAGGACGGAGGACGCCCCCTGCTCCCCCCGGCCGGCCCTGGCGGCTGTGGCCATGGGCGTGAACCAGCGGATGGGAGATCTCTGTTTCCATAACTCTTTAAGTTATTTTTATTGGAAAGGCGGATATACAGAGAGGAAGAGAGACGGAGAGGGACATATTCTGTCCGATGGTTCACTCCCCAAGTGTCCACAATGGCCAGACCCGAGCATTTCCGAAGCCAGGAGCCTGGCGCTTCCTCCGGGTCTCCCACACGGGTGCAGGGTCCCAAGGCTTTGGACTGTCCTCTGCTGCTTTCCCAGGCCACAGGCAGGGAGCTCGATGGAATTGGGGCCACTGGGATTAAAACCAGGGCCCCTCTCTGTAGCTCCTGTCTTATATAAACAAAAATGGTTTATGATGGATAGCTTTAATTTTTTCATTTATATTTTTGATGATGTTTTAACTAGAGGGGAAATGTGGGAGATTGTCAGATAGTAGGGTTTGAGAGGAAGAGAAGGGTTGGGGAAGAAGGCGGGAACCAGGGAATGTTGGGTAAACCAAGGAGAGATCTCAGGGCCCAGAGACAGGCTGTGGCGTTCTGGGGGCGCTGGGAGGCAGGGTTGGGCTCCGACAGACCTGGGGCTCCAGCATCCCCTGCCTCGCTCTCGGCCTCCCCAGCCCCTGCGCCTGGCGGGCCCCGTGTGCAGCGCCAGGGGCGTCCGTGGCCTGAGTGGGACAGGGCCCCCGCGGGGCAGCCAGCAGAGGTGGCGGACGCTGCTGCGGTTCCTGACCGACCACTTCTATGACGTGGAGGCTCTGAGGCAGTACCTGCTGCGGAAGCGGCTGCTCAAAGTGCAGCAGGACAATCGGTGAGCAGCCGCGGGGTCCCCTGGCCCTCCGCCTCCGTGAGCCCCCCAGCACACAGGCCGCCTGCGGGTCTGGCTGACACGGAGCCCAGCAGGGCCGGTTCCCCCCGACCGTCCTCATCCCAGCGATGGCCCTGCTGTCCTGCTTTCCAGCGCCAATTCCGAGGAGCCATTCTGGTTTCCTCTTTGCCCTCCACACCCTCCCGCCCGCCGATAAAATCCAGGATCGCCCGAGCGTTCAGCCCCCACCCCCAGCCTCCCCGGGGTCTGCAGAGCACCCAGGCCCGCTCAGGGAAGTAGCATGACTTCCTGTCACGTCGCTGACAGCCGCCAGCCATGCTGCCCCCGTCCTATCAGGGAACCCCCTGCTTGGCAGCCGCCCCAGCATGAGGCTCCAGGCGCCACTCTCCTTCTGGCTTCACATTCCTTGTTGCCATTGAGGTGTCGCCTCAGCCTTCTCCACACCTGAACTCCCCTGACCTCCCCTAGTCGGGGCCCCTGGGGTGCTGGACAGTGCTCAGCCGGGGGCGTGTGCCCCTCAGCAGTGTCGGCCGGGTGGGGTGGACCTCCTGGGGGTCTGCAGGCCCTCACCTCCTCAGGCCCTCACCTCCGTCACCCTCTTCCCTGCAGATCCTTCACCTCCCTGGAGGAGCGCTACGGCCCGTCCGTGGCGGGCGCCTTCTTCGTCCTGAAGCAGGGAGGCGCAGTCAAGTACGGCGGCAGGTGCCGGGCGGGGTGGGGCAGGCGCGGGTCTGTGCCGAGGGGTGGTGCCCGCACCCCGCTACCCCGCTGGCCCTGACGAGACCCTGTGCCCACACATTTCATTTTCTTTCTGTATTCTTTTTATTTTTGTGAAAGGCAGTGGGAGGGGGAGGGGGAGGGAGAATCTGGTTCACTCCCCCATGGGCCTGCACTTCACCTCGGGGTGCAGGGACCCAGGCGCTTGAGACATCGTCTGCCGCTCTCCCAGGCTGTTAGCAGGGAACTGGCTCACAGGTGGCACAGCTGGGACTCAAACCAGTGCCCGTACGGGATGCCGGCGTCAGCAGAGGCAGCAGCTTAACCGGCTGTGTCAGTTAAAACTTGCATCAGGACAGCCGGTCGGCATGCCCACACCCTGGCTGGTTGGATTCCCGGCTGTTCCCATTCCAGCTTCCTGCTCGTTCAGACTCTGAAGTAATAGGGTTCCCACCACGGGCACAGACCTGGCTCAGTCCGGCCCGAGGGCGCTCAGGAGTGAACCAGCTGCCAGGCACCCACCCTGTGTGAGCTGTCCCGACGGTGCCCACCCACAGGACCCTGCATGGCGCCTCTGGGCTGTGCTGCGGGCCCAGGCTCGCACAGCGGTGACGCGTCCAGTGAGGGAGGCTGTCGGGATCCAGCCCTCGGCGTGGGCTCACAGCCTGCCGTCACGGGTGGGCTCTCAGAGGCGGGGCCTGGGTCACGGGGGGCTGTGCTCACACCCCTTCTCCCCGCCAGGTTCCGGGACCAGGAGTGGATCCGGCCCAGCAAGCACGGCCGCTTCTCCCTGGAGTTCTTCAAGTCCCAGGACGCGTCTGTGGAGGCTGTGGATGCCAGCGGCTGTGCCATCAACTACGAGGGCATGGGCAGTCTCTGTGCGTGGGGTGCTGGCCGGGGGCGGGCCCAGGGGGACGGCCCTGTGCCACATGTCCTGTCCCCTTGCAGTGTCCCTGAGGGAGCTGCGGTCCCTGTCGCTGCAGCGCTGCCCCCACGTGGACGACTGGTGCCTCAGCCGCCTCCACCCGCTGGCCGCGTCCCTGGAGGAGCTCTCGCTGGCCGGCTGCCCTCGGGTCTCGGAGCGAGGCCTTGCCTGCCTCCACCACCTCCAGTGAGACCTGGGTTCAGGCCGGGCCCTGGGCAGTGTCCCCCACCCAGCCCAGGTGCAGGAGACATAGGGAAAGGGTCCCTGCTCCATCACAGACTGGGTGTGGGTGGTAGGTGGGCCAGGGTCAGTGAGTGGCCAGGACAATTGATGCCGGTTCCTTCATTCCTGGGACTGACGACACAGGCATGGCTGGGTGTCTGGTCAGCACGGGGCAGCTTTCACGTTCCTGGAGTGACTTAGTCACAAAGCCAGGGATTGAAATGGGTCAGAACCCCTTACCACGCACACCTGACCGCTGCCCTCACAGCGGCCTCCTGCCCTTCTCCCCGCCCTCAGGAACCTCCGCTGGCTGGACATCTCGGATCTCCCGGCTGTGTCCAGCCCGGGCCTCACGCGCATCCTGGTGGAGGAGATGCTGCCTGGCTGCCAGGTGGTGGGGGCTGACTATGCCCAGGGCCTGAGGCTGGGGCCTGAGGAGCAGCCCCGGGACGCTGCCAGCCCCATCCCTGCCTAGCCTGCAGCCCCGGCCCACCTAGGGCTCCCGGAAGGTTGCTGGGGTCCCTCAGCCTGGGCATGTGTAGGGGGTGGGCAGTGACTGGCAGATCTGAGAGAAGGCAGGCGTGAGGTTAGGGTGTCCGTTGCCCTTTGGTAGCCCCACAGAACTGCCCACACCTTCGAGGACTCCTGCTGCACACAGCAGGCGCTGCGGTGCCAAGCGCAGATGGCTGGGTGCCCGGTGTGGGCAGTTACTGCCTTGGGTTCCCAGTTCAGCTCTTCTGTGCGCTGCCTGCTGCCACCTGCACCGCTGGCTTTGTCAGTAGGGGGCGCTGGAGGACACGGGAGGACGGGCAGGTGCCAACGGGCTGTGCCCCCATGCACCTGCTGTTCCTGGGCAGCCCCCACCAAGTGGCTTCCCATGGGGCTGCTGTGGTTGGCTCTGGGCAGCACCCCCAGGAAACACCCCAGCCTTGTTCTAATTCAGTGTCATTCACATTAAACCCTCGGATGGAGCTTGTGTGGCGTTCTGACTGCATCTGTATGAACACAGCACGTACCCGAGTGCCCCGGCAGACTGACGCCTAGGCTGGGACCGGGGTTGGTGTGGTCCCACTGGCGGGCGCGGGCCTGTCCGGTGCAGTGGCTCAGAGGGAGGCACCCTTGGGGGGCAGCAGGGATGGCTCAAGGTTTTGAGTCCCTGCCACCCATGTGTGGGATGCTGATTTCCTGGCTCTGGCCTGGCTCATCTGAACTGTGCAGCTGTGTCTCCGCTGTTGGCATCACAATCCAGCTGCCACCCACGGGTCAGGTCACCCTGTCCCCAGGGTGTATGTGAGCAGGAAGCTGGAGCGGAGGGAGACTTGAACCCAGAGTGCTCAACCACTGGGTCACGTACCCGCAGGCACCGTGGAAACTTCCCCCGTCCGGCTGCTGCACGGGGGCCTTGGGTGGAGCAGATGCCAGGGCAGTCAGATCTGTGGCTCCCCCTTCACCCCGCAAACTGCCCGGCCTGTGGGGAGGGGCAGTGCAGGCCCTGGTGGAGGGCGCCCAGTGTGGTGGGCCAGAAGCTGATCCTGCCCCTGCCCCCGGGCCCTGCCCTCACTCCCAGCCCAGCTTCCAGGCCATTAGCTCTCACCACTTCCTCCCACTCCTCCCCCAGCTGTTCCCAGGGCTCCATTATTCAGACGGGAGGAAATCAGGGCTGAGCAAGCAGCTGCTGGCTGACCGGCTCCCCTCCACACACGCCAGCACAGGGCAGGGTCAGCTCCTCCCTGGTCTGCCTGCCTCCCCACCCCCGGCTGCCGCGGGTCCCCGGAGGGCGAGGGCGAGGGCCATGCCGTAAACACCGCAGACACCCTGGCTTGTCCCGGGGGGCCAGAGGTCGGTGCGCCAGTCACTGCAGCCCCGGGGGCTTGGGCACCTGGGTAGGAGTGGATTCCCACCCTGCTAGGCAGGCGGCCCAGGCCCCTCCAACCACCAGCCCGTCACCGCCTGCACCTGCCCCTTGTACAGACCCCGGCTGCCCTCCCCTCTGCTGGATCTGCCGCTGGGTTCTGACTCGTGCCTTCCATCTGCCCAGTCTCCCCCAGCGTGCCCACCCCCTGCCAGGGGAGCACTCCCTGCCTCCGTTTCCCTCCTGTCCACCTTCCTGCCCCCCACCATCCGTGGCTCGCATCTGCTCCCACTCCGCACATGCACCCGCCTCCCGGTGTGGCCCGGCGCCAGCCCGTGTCTCCCGGGCCTCGCCCTCCCGCGCACGGTCCTCCATCCACGGCTGTGACCCCGCCTGCGCCCTTCCCGGCCGCCTCCCAGCAAACCGGCCCCAACATGCCAGCGCCCCGCCAGGCCGGCCCCGCCCCGGCTCCTCCCGGCTCCTCCCGGCCCCAGGGGCCCGGCCGCCTCCCGCGGCACCGCTCTCCCCGCCCCCGGCCGGGCTGGGCCGGGCTGAGACCCACGGCGGCGCAGGCTAGGGCCAGGGCAGAGCAGAGGCAGCAGGGCAGCGCCCGGCTGTGCTGGGGCTGGTGGGAGCTGGACCCAGAGGTAAGGGGGGTCGGACCCCTGCTCCCCCGACCCGGGTGGGGCTGCGGGAGGGAGGGAGCGTCTCTAAGACCCTGGAAGGAGCTGACGGGGGGGGGGGGGCATGAATGGAGAAGATGGGAATGGCGGGCTGTCCCTGAGGGGCAGCTGGGGAGTGGGCTGTTGGGAGGCCAGGTTGGAGTGGGGGCGCCCAGGTGTGGGAACGGGAAACAGCTGGGCCGCCGGCTGCAGGAGCATTTGGGGGAGGCAGCGGCCTTGCGCCCTGCACCCTAAAGGCCCCTGTGGCTCCCTGTGGCTTCCCTGCAGCTGCCACGGGCGGGTCATGCGCTGCCCCAAGTGCCTTCTCTGCCTGTCAGCGCTGCTCACGCTCCTGGGCCTCAAGGTGTACATCGAGTGGACCTCGGAGGCCGGGCTCAGCAGGGACTCCCCGGGCCCCAGGGGCACCCTGCCAGACGCCACCTCGGCCAGCCCCGAGCCCACCCTGCCTGCCAACCTCTCCGCCCGCTTGGGCCAGCCTGGCCCGCTGTCCCCAGCTTACTGGAACCAGCAGCAGTGGCGGCTGAGGGCCCTGCCCAGTGGGGACGGCGCTGAGGCCGGGGACTGCCATGCTTGGGGGGCCGCCGCAGCTGCCCAGATTCCCGACTTCGCTTCCTACCCGGAGGACCTCCGCCGCTTCCTGCTGTCCGCGGCCTGTCGGAGCTTCCCACGGTGGCTGCCTGAAGGCGGTGTCGGCCATGTGGCCGGCTGCTCGGCCGAGGACGTCCCTTACCTGCTGCTGGCTGTCAAATCGGAGCCAGGGCGCTTTGCGGAGCGCCAGGCCGTGAGGGAGACCTGGGGCAGCCCAGCGCCTGGCATCCGGCTGCTCTTCCTGCTGGGGTCCCCGGCAGGACTGGGGGGGCCCGACCTAGGCTCGCTGGTCGCCTGGGAGAGCCATCGCCACCGTGACCTGCTGCTCTGGGACTTCCTCGACGTCCCCTTCAACCGGACGCTCAAAGACTTGCTGCTGCTGGCCTGGCTGGACCGCCACTGCCCCGACGTGGCTTTTGTGCTGCAGGTTCAGGACGATGCCTTCGTGCACATCCCTGCCCTGCTGGGCCACCTGCGGGCCCTGCCGCCCTCCTGGGCCCGGGGCCTCTACCTGGGTGAGATCTTTGCCCAGGCCAGGCCCCTCCGCAAGCCTGGAGGGCCCTTCTACGTGCCCAACTCCTTCTTCGAAGGCCACTACCCAGCCTACGCCAGCGGGGGCGGCTACGTCATTGCAGGGCGCCTGGCCCCCTGGCTGCTGCGGGCGGCCGCCCGGGTGGCCCCCTTCCCCTTCGATGACGTCTATACCGGCCTCTGCTTCCGCGCCCTGGGCCTGGTGCCCCGGGCCCACCCAGGCTTCCACACTGCCTGGCCGGCCCAGCGCGCCTTGGGCCCCTGTCTGCTCCGCGACCTGCTGCTGGTGCAGCCCCTCAGCCCGCAGGACAGCATCGGGCTCTGGAAGCAGCTGCACGACCCTCGGCTCCGGTGCTGAGCCCCCTCCTTCCAGGTCTGGGCGCGCACACGCCGCTAGAACTGGGACAGCATGAGCTGCTTTGGGTCTTCCTGGCTGGCGGGCAGGGGCACCACCCGGCCCTCATCTGTGGCTGATAAATACACGCTGCCCGCACAGGCTGGGCTGTGTCTGCGTCTGGGGGACTTGGCAGCGGCACAGGCACTCTGACCTTCACACACTCGCGGACGGAGCCCAGGCTGGCCTCACTGCCTCAGCACCCCCTCCCCCAGCTCGTGAAAGCTCGAGGTGGGGGAAGTAGGGGCGGGAGAGGAAGCAGAGAGCTGGGCAGTTGGGCTCCGGCCTTGCCTCACTTATCTGCAGTGAGAGGGAGCCTCCTCGCCCCCCGCAAGGGCAGAGCAGGCAGAGCCAGGGCACAGCCGCTTTATTCACCCTCTCTGCCCCTGCACCACGCAGGGGCTTCCCTCCTGGGGGTGCCCCTCCCAGCCCCCCACCAGGAAGGCACTGTCAGAGCAGGTTAGGGGGCTGCTGGGACAGAGAGGCCCCAGTGTAACAGCCTGGAGGGGCAGGCACGGGCACAGCTGCCCCTGTGATGGCCTCAGGCCCAGGCAGCCAGGCGGGTCCCCCCAGTGCGTGGGTTCCCACCTGGTGGTTGCGGGGCAGGGCGCAGGGCCTCACTTGTCAAAGTGTTCCAGTGGGTAGTGCTCCCCGTAGGTCTGCAGGTGCCGGGCCAGGGACTCCTGCTGCTTGCGGAGCTGGGCGGGCATCTCCTGGTACACGTCCGAGAAGAGCAGGCGGGGGCTGGGCTTCAGCTTGCGCTCGGCCTGCTGGAAGGCCTCCATCACCTGCGGGAAGTGGGACGGTGGGCGGCAGCCCTGCACCCAGCAGGCCCCGTGAGGGTTAACCCACCCCAGCCTGTGCAGGCCCCAGGCCGCTGCCCCCGCAGGATGTGGCTTCGCTGGGGACGAGCAAGGGCTGGGTCGGACATGCAGCTGCCTGACCCCAGACACCGCCCCCCCCCCCAGTTCCTGGGGTCATGCCACAGACCCTAACCACCTGGGAACCCGTCAGACAACTGGCCCAGGCCGCACGGGGGTCGCAGCACCGGGGTCCCCGCGAGGCCTCCCAGCCCTGGCCCACCTTCTTGCGGGACTGCTTCCTCCAGGCCTTCTCCTGCTCCTCGTCCCACCAGCCACGGCTGAGCAGGAAGTGCCGCAGCCGGGAGATGGGGTGGTCCTGCTTGTCCCAGTAGTTGACCTCGTCCACCGAGCGGTACGCGGAGCTGTCGTCGCTGGTGCTGTGGTGGCCGATCCTGCCCAGGGAGCAGGGCAGGGTCAGCGAGGGGGCGGAAGTGGAGTGAGGGCAGAAGTGGGGGCACCTGTAGGTTGAGGGAAGTGAAGTGGAGCGCGCGGAAGGGGGCGCACCTGTAGGTCATGGCCTCAATGAGGAAGGGCTGGTTCTCGGCCACGGCCCGCCGCCGGGCCTCCCTCGTGGCGTTGTACACGGCGAACACGTCGTTGCCGTCCACGCGGATGGACATGATGCCGTAGCCGGGGCCGCGCGCCGCTGCGGGCACAGGGGTGGCTGCTCAGGGCCCGGCGCCCAGCGGCGGGGCGGGGAGGGCCGCAGGTCGGGGATGCGGGGTGCCTACCGATGCCATCCCCGCGGTACTGCTCGGAGGTGGGTGTGGAGATGGCGTAGCCGTTGTTGCGGCAGAAGAAGATGATGGGGCACTCGAGCGTGGCGGCGAAGTTGAAGCCCGCGTGGGCGTCCCCCTCGCTGGCCGCCCCCTCCCCGAAGTAGCAGATGACGACCCGGTTGGCGTTGGCCCGCTTGGCGGCGTAGGCTGCCCCCACCGCTGCGGGCACAAGCGGGGTGAGAAGGGGCTGGCGCGCGTGCCCACGGAGGGCACACAGGGGCGCACGCAGCAGCACAGGGAGAGCTCAGGCCCCGGCGCCCCGGGCCGCGCAGGTTCCCAGGGAGGCAAGATGTGGCCTTTCTGCCCTGAGCCCAGCTCCACACACCGGGCTCCGGCTCAGACCAAACCCCTTGCCTGTCTTGGGGTCTATTCTGCCTTCAAAATACAGCCACGGCGGCCAGCTCACTCCCTGCCACACACTGAGCACGCCGGACAAGCTGCAGCTGCGTGAGGCATGGCACGGCCTCCACGCTGGCTGGGCTCCTCACACAGCACCACCCGCCTCATGACACCCACTCCGGTCCCACCCTGACCTGCTGATGACACCCCTTCGCCTGCACTCAGGCCCATCTCTGGGTGCCCGTCTCCACGCCAGGTGCTGGCTGGCTCCAGCCACAGTGCTCCCTGCTCATGGCAGGGCACCAGGCAAGAGGGCACCCCTAATCTGCTCAAGGAGGTACAGTTTTGTCAGGACTGGTTCTGGGAACCTACTCATCTGTCACTCTACTGCCACCTCCCCTGAGAAGGCTGCCCGCCCCAAGAGGCTCGCCCTGCTCCTGCCCGCCTGCCCCTGGCGGCCTCCTGGTGCACAGGGCACACCGCTGGCCCCTGGGGCAGAGCCAGCAGCAGTTGTATCAAGCCGCGACAGGGCTGCAGGCCCCGAAGGACACTGCGCACAGCTCCGGCACCCAGGGGGTCAGCTTCCCAAGCAGTCCTCCCCCACCCCACCCCCTTTTTTTTGCAGACAGAAAAGTTTATTTGCAGGAAGGAAGAGGGAAGGCAAAAACACCTCCCCAGGGAAAGCTGGGAAGCGGGGTGCCTCTTGAAAGGAGAGGGAGAGACATCCCAAGAAGACCCCCTTAACAGGGCCACTGGGGTCAGGTGGGGGTGCAGGGTCAGGCCAGGCCCTGGGCCCTGGGGTCACCCCATCCCTGGCCTGCAGTTCTCTCTACCCAAGGGGAACTCTGACAAGTGACTTCTGTTTCCTGCTCTTCCAGTCATGAATGACTGTCAGCTAGACTGTCAGCCCAGGGCCTGGCAGATGGTGGGCACCACTGGGTGCTCGGAGCCCGGCAGATGGTGGGCACCACTGGGTGCTTGGAGCCCGGCAGATGGTGGGCACCACTGGGTGCCCAGGGTCCGCAAATGCTGGGCACCAAGGTGCTGTGCTGGGAGCACATGAAGGGCAGAGGTATGGCAAAGCTCGCGTGTGGTCGCATCAGCTCATGGGCCCAGGTTGGGTGTGGCCATCACCCTCTTCAGGAGGGTCCCTGTGAGGTGTGTCTGGAGCACAGCTCTGCCAGGATGGGGCATGACAAGGCTGGCATGGGGCATGCCAAGGCATGGGTGGGCGTCCTCACCCTGAGGGATCTGCGTGGCCAGTGGAGAGGAGATGGTGACGAAGTGGCGCTCCTTGCAGCCGTAGTGGACCGGCATCTGGCGCCCCTTGCCCAGGTCGCTCACGTTGCCGTAGCACTGGGCCATGAACAGCTCCAGGGGGTAGTCCCGGTACATCAGCACGCCTGGTGGGGGAGGGGGAGAGACTAAGGTCAGTGTGTGGGGGGTGCCAAGCCTCCGGCTTCCACGTCCCACCTGCACAGCAATGGAGCGGCCCTGGGGTGGGAACCCAGCACACATGCTCCCAGGAGACCCATGACCAGGGCAGGCCAGAGGACCAGGTTGAGGCTCAGCCCCTTCTCGTTTCTCAAAGGAGGGAGTGGGTGCTAGGCCCGCTGTTAAGCCACCTGCGGCCTGGTCAGAGTGCCTGGGCCTGAGTCCCCGCTCCAGCCTGACCGCAGCTTCCTGCTGACCCGCACCCTGAAGGCAGCGACAGTGGCTTTAATGCTTGGATTCCTTCCACCCACGAGGCCCGGAGTGGGTTCCTGGCTGTGGTGGGCGTTCGGGCAGTGAGCCAGCAGATGAGCGCTCCCAAATGAATAAACATTGTTAAAAAGCGGCAGACTGTGCCTTTCCTCTTTCTGGCCTCATGACAGATTCTGAGACCCTGAAGTGTCGTCAGCGGATCCACTTCCACCATCGTGATGGACCAAGGCTGCCCCGGACAGGCACTGCCAGGCTGGTGATGGCAGCCAAGCCTCTCCTTCCGGCCCAGCCTCCTGGGGCGCCCACCTCACCGCCACGGGGCCTGCTGTGGGAAGGGGCCCACTAGCTGAGGTGGGGGTGTTTGTGACTGTCCTGTCACCTTCCTTCCCCTGAAGTCCACAGCCAGCCAGCGGTGGGCGGCGCTAGGGGCACCTGCAGGATTTTGAGTGGTGCCTTGTGTGGCAGCTGAGGGGCTGCAGAACCCCCTTCAACTTCACCAGTGTCACCTCCACACATGGAGGCAGACAGCAGCTCCATGGTCAGAGGTGGGGAAACCGCAGGCTCCCGCAGCAGGCTCCATGCCCGCAAGCAGCGAGGGTGCAAAGGGAGTTGGCACAGCACACACTCGCACAAGTCAGTGCCAAGCTGGAGGGGGTGAGCGGGGAGCGCCCCTGCTGAGCAGCCAACTGGGCCCTGAGGCATCAATACATGCAGGGCTCGGTGTCGCCAACATGGCTGTGAAAATGTAGCAATTCTGGGATCCCTGTCAAGACAGGAGACATGCTCAGGTCCAAGGTGGCCACGCTGCACGCAAAGCAGACAGGTGGGTGCTGTCCTTGGAGAGGGCGACGAGGCCTGGTGCAGGGCTGCCCACACGCGACCTGCTGGGGAGGGTGGGGGACCTGCTGGGCAGTGCTGACCTGCGCCAGGAAGCTGCAGGTGCGGTGGAGCTTTTTCTTTTAAATGTTTGTGTTTCTTTTCATTTCATTTGAGCAGCAAAGAGATTTTTTCATCCTTCGGTTCACACCCAAGTCCCAGTGATGGCCAAAGCCGGGAGCCTGGAGCTCCATCGGGGTCTCCCACGTGGTGGCAGAGCCAGGACTGCACTGGACTAGACCAGGCACTCCACTGCCTGAGCTGACCCCAGTATTCCACACGGCCGCTCCTGGCTTGTCAGACTTTCGTGGTGCCCGCTGCTCCTGGCAGAGCCTGCGGGCTGACGAGGTGCAGGCTGACGTACCTGCCTCCCGGTACTGGCCGAACACCAGGTCCGTGTCCTCCAGGGCAGCTGCACTGCCCACGTGTGTGCCCTCCTCGCCATAGTTGGTCATGTAGAAGGAGATCCGGCCCTGCGGGGGAGGGGGAGAGCTTGGTTAACCCTGCGCAGTAACAGAACCAACCCAAGCGGCCCACTCCTGATGGCTC